GAGCCCATCTGGAGGTTGAGCTCTTCTATTCTCGAAGGTCTCATGTTAACCCCCATCCTCGACAAACGCCGATCCGAACTACACATATTCCCTCGTCAAGGCAAGACAACGCCAGGTTACCTCCAGTACATTCCGTTTACTTGGACAACGTGCAACAATTCAGCACACTTTGGCATGTCGACCAAGGCTATCGTTGAGATGATGGTTGTTTCTATGCTCAACTTCGAGGTTGACAAGTACCTTGAAGATGTCACTGCCGATAATCCTTCTTCTTTCCTGTTTGATTCACTAAGAATAACAATCCGCCAAGTGTTCGATGACTTTCATGGCCATATAGGCACTGGTGATTATGAAAGGGAGGGTAAAAGACGAAAGCTGCTCACAACCGAGCCGCTCCCTACGAAGGTGGGAGCCGTGGATTCACCCGTTTCTCATCGGACAAAATTGAGCAATCTCAAAGGAATACTATCCCAATTTGTTTCTTGGGTCTTGGAGCATCCCAACGTTGTGGTTGCATCCAAAAGCATCCAGCGGCGGCTCAAGGATGAACTGGTCATCTTTCTCCTGGCGCATGTCGCGCAGGGCGAGGATAATTTCCGGCTTCAGAAGTTGGACCGATCTTCCCGTTCTGCGAAGGGAATCATGGGAGTAGGGACATACTTCGACTGGGTTCGGACAACTTCTGCCGATCACACGAGCTGTCCGTTTTCATTCGAGTTTTTTCGGTGCGTGGTATCACCCCCGGGGGTCGACTATTTCTCCACTGCTAGAGCACGTTATATTGGTCAAGACCTTTGCTGCCATCTTGCCACCATGTGCCGTCAGTATAACGATTTTGGCTCTATGGATCGGGACCTCTTGGAACAAAACCTCAATAGTGTCGATTTCCCCGAATTTCTCGACGAACAGACTGGTCCAACTAGCGAAATTTCGATGGTGGACCTGGCAAAGCAGAGACAGGTTGCGAGCAAGCAACTTCTTGAGATTGCATTGTACGAACGGCAGTGCTTGGAACTAGCAGTCGCCCAAGTCCAGCAGGATGTTAAACCAAGAGCGTGGCGATCGCTACAGGTCTTCATCAAAGTTACCGACATTTACGGACAGATATATATCGTCAAAGATATCAATCGCAATTCTAGGGAAGGTGAAAAACCAAGCGCTACTGTTCCGCTAATTTAGTTAGCGGTTATTTGCAGCGTCGTTAACTATTCCATGTCTTGGTTGCGTTTTCACTCACAGTATACCAGAAGGAGAACATGGAAGAACATAGAAGAACACCTGAAACATCAGTGCTGTACACTTATCGTCATTTTCGAACATTCTCACCTGACGACTCTGTGACGATTGTTGTTGTAACTATATACGCCTGCGATGTGTAGCCGACGTTTCCATTGTACCGAGGACCTAATATAGGCTTGATTGTATTATTGATTTGACTAGGAAAACAAACAAAAAATGAGCGAACCGTTTGCAATACTAGGCATCGGACAAACTTTACTAAGCTTGTTTCTTACATGCATGGCGGAGATGGAATTGGTTGCCTTGTGGGCACGCGCCATTTACTGGACCCGGTAGATTGGGCCGCGGGGTCCACAAATGTATAAAAGAGGCACGCCTTTTACCGTAAGATTGCCAGATTCTCAAGCCCACTGCCTTCTACGAGAACCTGTATCTCAATCTATTTGCTCGGCGCAGAGAAAATGGCACCTCAACTTATCTTCGGAACTGCAACCTTCGGCATGGATTTGACCGAGTTCCAGAACCAGGATTCCGTGAATTCTCTACTTCGAACACTTCGTGGTCTTGGCGTAGAGAGACTCGACTCAGGCGCGCGCTATCCGCCCTTGAATCCCGGTCGGTCTGAGATGTTGATTGGGGACTCGAAAGAGTTTTGCAAGGGCTTCATCATCGATACCAAAGTTTACACGAACACTCAGACCGACGGCAGTGGTGATCTGACCCGCGCGGGGATTAGCAAGTCCTTGACCGGCAGCTTACAACGCCTTCAAATCAACGAGGGGGTAGGACATTTGCATATACATTTTTTTCTGGTGTCTGACATTGATTTGAAAAGATTAATGTGCTGTATGCACATAGGGCAGATCCGAGTACCCCACTCAAAGAGCAAATTCAGGGCTTCATAGAGCAAATAGCGCAAGGGCGCTGTAAGAGTGTAGGCGATAAACTCACCCAAGCTACATCACCGCTAACTGAAAGCAGTGGGGTGTATCTAACACCCCGCCCAATGTATTGGAGAGAATACTGCAGTTGTGCGAAGAGAATGGCTGGGCAAAGCCTAGTTGCTATCAAGGAAACTATAATCTAGTCACCCGTGGCATGGAAACGAACCTGTTACCGACACTACGCGAGAATGGTATCGCATTTAATTGCTTCCAGTATGTATCAACGCGCAAGTATGCATGAAAGTGGGCACTAACGCATGCACCATAGACCTCTCGCCGCAGGATTCTTAACCGGTAAGCTTGTCAACAAGACACATGCCGGCACACGATTTGACAAAAGCAATCCTCTTGGCAACATCATACAGAAAATGTTTGGGTCCGTGGAGTTGCAGGATGCAATGAAAGTGTTCGATGCAGGGGTGCGGGCAGAGGGACTAGCGCCTACGGAGGTGGCCCTTCGTTGGCTGGCAAACCACTCGGTTCTAAACAACGGGGATGGCATAATATTCGGCGCGAGCAAGGTTGATCAAGCACCGGACACGGTAAGGTTCCTGCAGAGCGGGCCGTTGCCTCCATCGGTGCTTATTCTCGTCGAGAACCTCTGGTCTGCAGTAAAGGAAATGCGCGGCGACATAATCTGAGCGTTGGGTTTTATAAGACGACCCAGGATTTTGGGTTAGTAAATTTAGATGAAGTCCGTTACGTTTTGTGTGCCGTAATATCTAGTCCATACGCCATCAAGATGTTGCCTAGCGACTGACTGTGACGTGGACACAAGTAGGCTATGCGTCCTAATTCACGATTTTTATCTATACCTGTATCAAGACCTGAAAGGGAGCTTGCCTGCTACTACAATGCCTCACTTAACACCACAACAACTGCTCGCCGAGCTGGAAGTTTTCGCTTTACAGCCACCAAATGAGGCTTTGGAGGACGCCGATGTCCGGGCCAAACTCTATGCCTTGTTTGATAAGGCGAAGAAATTACTGGAGACTCCGACCGAGTTGGTCACTAGATTGCTGTTGTCTCAGGTGAGAGAATAGAATTCTTTTACTAGCCTACACGCTAATGCAAAGGGCACTTTAGCATGTCGAAGGCACGGTGATCGACGTTGCTCTAGATCTAGAATTATTCTCCAAGCTGGAAGAGGAAAATGGTAGCACCAAAACGCTTGAGACTTTGGCATCCTCTATCAAGGTGGAACCCGCGCTTCTTAGTACGTCTCTTTACAGGAGCTTTTATGGCTTGTTTCAAACCTGATTGACTTAGAACGACTTTTGCGTGCTCTAGCAGCATTTGGTGCTGTCCAAGAAGTTGAGCACGATGGCTATAGGCTATCGCCGTCGCACTCCATACTGGCAAATAATGACTTTGGACATGCGGTGGTTACTGTGTAAGAATATTTCCGTAACTGAGCTCATATCCACTTTATACTTACGTCTTGTAAGGTCTGAAATTCTCCACCCTACTTACCAAGCCCTACCCCAGTACCTGAAGTCAAGAAATTACGCGACGCCAACCGATCCAAAGAACACCGTAATCCAGCAGGTCTTTGGGATTAAAGACAAGGACATGATGAGCCTTGTTTTGGAAAAGCCCGATTGGGCACGCGGTTTTGGCATGCTCATGAGCACATGGGGCGAGAGCCATGCTTTGCTCCAGCATCTATATCCTGTCAAGGAAAGGCTTGTGGCGGGTTTCAACGCCGATATCAATCCAGTATTGTTTCTGGATGTCGGCGGCGGATACGGTCAGAAGTCCATTGCTCTCCGGCAGGCATTCCCCGACCTCCCAGGCAAAGTCGTCGTTCAAGACATGCCCGTGTTCATTGATACTGCACCAGTTGTGGAGGGGATTGATTTTACTGTCCATGACTTCTTCACGGAACAACCTGTCAAAAGTATGAAAACAATGTCTCTTCAATATCATTTCCGTTAATTAACGTATGGTCTAGGCGCAAAAGCGTATTATATCCGGCAGTGCCTACATGATTGGCCGGACGAAGCTTGCGTGAAGATATTGAGCATGCTTCGACCTTCCCTAAAACCGGGTTACTCCAAACTTCTTATTCACGAATTGATAGTACCCGAGACTGGCGCCAGTACATGGGCCGCCGTGCAGGATATCAACATGATGTCTCTGGCCGGTGTAGCTGAGCGAACGGAGAAGGATTGGAAGAGTCTCATTCATGCTGCTGGACTCGCCGTTGAGAACATTTATCGAGCTACGGATGGGGTCTCTGAGAGTGTCATCGAAGTAGTTGTGGAAGAGCAATGTTAAGCACGTCAGAAACTTCCTCGAAGGCATGGTGATATTGTGCATGGTTTTAGTCAATGGTACACTATTTCTTGAGAGAAACTTGAATATCTACTGTAAATCTAGTACGGCGCTTAGATTCGTATCCTTATATATAGGCACTTGCGAGTTCTCATTATCCTTCTGACACCCGACGCTCGAATATCTTACTCCACGGCACAGCGCCCACAATCTCAATCCTTTGCCAAGAGCATCTGCCCTTCGCCGTAGCAACCCACCGAAGTGATGCCAGGATCAAGACTCCAACAAAAACTTCCACAGCCCTTCTTTATCTATCTCCCTGCGACTGCTGCGGGTCAGGCCTTGTTCGTCTCGATTGGGCATCGCGCTGGATCCGACCCCCTTTTCGCTCCTCTTTTTGGCCTAGATTGGTGGACTTGACCATGGCGCCACCTATTACAGTATAGCGTATAATTGCTCCTTTGTGTAAAAGATAGCTGCTTCCTCTCTTGTTCCCCTAGCTATTGCTAAGACGCAGTTGCAAATGCAAAGAGTAAGAGGAACCTATCTAGAGCGCATCTTTCTTAACAATATCTACTGCAATGCCTCTTAAATAGATAGTATATACCACAGACTTGCGTTAAGGGCCGCTCTAGGAGCAAGTATAGCTATGCTATTGCTACCCTTGTCTCTCTATGCCCTCTGCTTACTTAAATAATAGTGCTCTTAGGATAGGCCTGCTATTGCAGCTGCCTATGCAGAATTGCTAATTTAATATCTTCCTAAATACAGCCACCTCCTCTGCGCTCCATGCAGAACTGCGCTCCCGCTCCCGCGGCTCCACACGCACTTACTGTCACACCACTATATCCGAGAGCCGCATTGTAGTGCTATAGTAGCTAGGTATAATAACCTCCCTGTTTTACAATCTAACAAGGACATAAGACTGCTTCTAGATAGTTTACCCCTACTTAAGTTCCTTACACTGCTAGCGCAAGGATTTGCTTACTAATGCTCCTTTAAGACAATTAACTGTAATATGTACTAACAGCACTTAAAGAAGGTTTATAATAAGAGCTAGACGCTAGCTAAGCAAGTAGTAGCAGAGTGCTTCCTTTAGAAATAGGCTCTGCTAAAGTTAAATTTCTTATATTAATACTAGCAAGTGGATGCAACTAGCATAGGGCTAACAGCTATACATGACTATCATAGTTGAACCACATTAAGAATCACTCTAAACTATACCATATTAGTATCGTTTAAACTATACTATGTTAATTATAGTGTTAAACTGCGTTAAAAACTGCGTTAAGAACTACGTTAAGTAAATATACATTAATTTAAGCACGTTAGCGTAGTTACTTGCTTTAATACTAATCTATCCTACCTGCTCCCTTATTAACAACACTAAGAAGAGTTTCTTAAAGCTCTAGATTAATTAGTAGACCTATTCTGCTGTCCTAGACTAGCTTAATGTGCCTCTGTTGTATCTAATTGCTAATACACTTAATTATCTTAATAGTAGTGCATTATAACTGCAATCTATCCTATAAACAGGTCCTTTAGGCCCTAAAGAAGGTCTGTTCTAGCTCTAATAATTCTGCGGGGATAGAGAGAATAGCTATAGCTATGCAGCTAAGCTCTAGATAGCTGCAACGCTGCTTAGATTAACACTACTACTTAAAAAAAGTAACTCTGTCTTTTAAATTAATAGCTAGGCTATTAATAAAGCTTTTAAAGTTATTATCTAGCTATAAACTAATAGTCTTTACCTTTGTCTTTTGCTTTAATAACATAAAGACGTTCACAGGCTTATCTAGCTGTCTAGTTAATATACTAGGTATGTTATCTAGAGCTAGAGAAGAGCCTAGTTTACTATTAAGCTTAAAATTATTTACCTAGATTATATTAGCAAGTTTAATAGCTAGCTCCACCCACTCTTCTAGCTAGTTCTAGTGTAGGTAGGCAGCTTACTTACGCAGATTAAGTAGTATTGCAGCAGCGTATACAAGTGTCTCTTCTGTTTTGTTGTAGTATTTGTTAAGTACATACTAGCCTATATTAATAGCTTAAATTATGCGTTTATTATAGTTTTTAGGTAAGAAGTAGTAGTTCTACTAAACATAAGTACTTAGCTCTATTAAGGGGAACTAGATACTAACCTTCTGCTTTTTATACTATGTTAATAGGAGATCTATAAGCTTAAGTAATTATGTAATTAATAACTTATTCTTCTTTACATATAGAGTTGCTAATGCAAATAGCTCTAAAAAGTAAGCAGCCTTTTTAAGAATATTCTAATTATTAGCTTAAAGCTAATTATTGCCTAGAATGTCCTTATAGTTAGTTATAAAGCTCTTAATCTTGTCTATCTTCTTTAAGGCTTGTGTGATAACCTAATACTAAAAAGACTATTATATCTAATTATTAATTCTAAGATGTAGACTAATAGCTTTGTCCTAGAGACCCTAGTAGATTGTGGAACTTTAGAGCTAGACTGTAAGATTGTAAAGCTTACGTAATGTAGAGATGTTCTTAACGCTATTAAAGTCCTTAACTAAGATAATGCTTACATTACTACCTTACTACTTCTATTATTTGCTTTATCCCTTTGTATAAAAGAGCTCTGCTTTAGTTTATTTATAATAAAAGGTAAGGACACTTAAAAACTGCGCAAGAAGAGCTTCTCTAGCAACACTAAAGGCAGTCTTAAGAGCGGCAATAAGAGCCTTTTAGAAAGACGCAAGGAGGAAAGCTTAAAGGAAGAGATTAATAATATAAGTAATATAATAGACCTAATAATGCTTTGCATTAAAGTTAATCTACTTAGATAATTAGCTTAATAAGTGCTTAATTAAACTTATAACTAATGTTGTATTTACGCTTTAATTACTTTAATAAAGCTTTTAGATAAGTATTATTTAATGTTGCATTATTACCTACATAATAGCTAATCTAGAATGTAATATTATATTTTCTAAGAGTATCTATAATAGAAACTGCTTGCTGCTCTCTAAAGTGGCTGTCACGTAGCTCTAGGAGCCCTAGAAGTGCCTTTTAAAGCTAATAGTCTTAATTAACCTATTATGCGCAAACTGCGAGCATTAAGTGACAATGCAGCAATGCCTAGAGGTCTAAGAAGATGTAAATAGGGCTTATAGCAGTTGTTATGCTAGTAGACAGCTGCTCTTAATAGAGCTTATAGTTTACTATAATGTATTGCACAACTGTAGTTCACGTAGTAATTAGCTTATCCTTAATAGCAGGGTTGCAAGCAAGGCAGAGTTGCTCTAGTTCCTTCTATTTAATAGCTAAGTGTCACAATTGTGCACAAGTAAGGTTATAGAGCTTCACAGAGGTCTAGTTTAATTACTATGTAAGGTATTATAGTAGGTACAAGACGTTGTGTAAGGAACAGGAAGGTTTAAGAGGAAATTAGTAATTAAATACTTAGCTTAGAAGTCTAAGCACTTTAGGTATAAATTAAGCCTGTTCTAGGTTTAGTTAGTGTTAAGGCAGTTTATGCTTAAGTTTATGTCTATATTATGTTATGTTTATGTTAGACGTGCACTAATAATACTCTAGTATGTGTCTAATACAGTTATGTCTAAGATCTAGAGAGGATACTGTAACAGTACCCCCCCTCTTATTAGAAAGGGAATCCTTTACATTAGTAGTTCTAGCATTAGGTTGTTTTTATTAGGGTACAGGTTTAGTTTAGATAGATATTAGGCGTAGAATTAGGTTACTGCAGAGTTCTCTTATAGGGCTTTTACAGGTTCCTACAACAGTTTATTGTATCTAGTCTATTTTATAAGGTATTTATAGATATGTTTTTTCTTGTTAAACTAGATCTATTTAACGTCTTCTATAATATATTCTAGTTTGTTATTTATAATAACAGGTTTAGGTACTAGGTTTAGCTGTCTAGGTAGATAGTTAGATTTAAAGGCTGCTTAGCGCAGCAACAATACATAGAACACAGGGTGTATCTTTATGCTATTAGGTAGGATTAATTAGTAAGTGTGTAATAAGACTATATAAGCTACTGTAAAAGGGCTAAAGTTCTTCTAATTAAGTTTCTTTAATTATTAGTTTATTTAGATATTTCTAGCGTCTAGCTAAACCTTCTTGCCAGCTGCATACGTAGGGGCAGGGGTTTAGGATTAGTTTATGTACTCTTGTTAAAAAGCTTAAGCCTATGTAAGCTTTTTATAAATGTATTTAAATATGTTTTAGATTTTATTAATAAGTCTATTTACATTTATTACTTATACAGATTAATAAGTTAGTTAAAGAGTATTTAAAGATAGTTTAAATCTTATTTAAAGGTAGTATCTATAGTTTACTAAGAATAGAGATACTTATGTTAATTTAGATGTTATGTTATTAGCTTTAAACTATGCTATAGCTAACTATTTTACTTAGTTATTTTACTAGTAGTTTATGTACACTTGTAGGACTTATTTTATTACAGTGTTTATGTTCTTAGTCTAGCTGTTAGTCTCTAGGTAAAAAGCTGTAGATAAATAGAGGATAATTTAGAGCTGTTTACAAAGTTTGTTCTAGAAGGCTAAGACAAACTACATACCTTTATTTAATATAATTATGTTAGGCAGGCTATAGTAAACTTATACATATTAGTAGAATAACTAGGCTATATTAAGGGCAGTTATAGAGGAACATAGTATTAGGTGTTAATACTTAGTTAAGTAATTAACAACTACTATAATATTTATGTACTTTTTAGATAAAAGTAGGTCTATAATAAAATTAATTAATATGTCTTTTTAAGCTTGTTTAAAAATTAGGAGCAGTTTAAGCAGGCTATTATACCTTTTTTAAAAGGCTTTTACTTTATAGTAAGTATAGCAACATAATATGTATTAGTGTACAGTATAGAACATGCGGGGCTAGTAGTACTCTCTCTATAGTAGGTTAAGAGTCTTTTCTTTGCCTAGGTGTTCTTTAATAGGCAAGTTATGTACAATTTAGAGTAGTTTAATTCTTAGTTTATTAGAATTAGAGATTATAA